ACCAGCTTCCTGATGAAGAGGAAATTAGAGAAAGATGTTGGAAGTGGATAGGACATAAATTGAGAAAATCATCAGACTGTATCACAAGGCATTCGCTAACTTAGAATCCTGAAGAGAAAAGGAAAAGAGATACACCAAGGAACACATTACGTTGGGAAATAGAAGCAGATATGAAAAAGATGAATAACAACTGGAAAGAGCTGGAAATAATTGCCCAGGACAGGGTTGGATGTAGAATGCTGTTGGGCGGCCTATGTTCCTCCACGAGGAGTAACAGGCGTAAGTAAGTAAGTATACAGTAGTACAATATAGATTATTTTATCACATGATCAAAAAGATATTTGAAAATTTGTCAAAATTTCATCGAATAGTTCAATAGAAATTCAGTGCCATGTATGAAGAAGACCATAGACGTATAAATTTTATTTAAAATAATCTGAAGAATTGAAATTATCATAATCCTAACGATCAAGCTGGGAAACCGGTCCGAACTTATTCAAGCCAGTAACTAAAATCATAAAAATATCAAAACTAAATCAATATGAATCTCTACCCAATAGGGTTTTGTATAGCTGTCAAGGTGTTTCGCCCTTAAATACAGAAACACATTCGCTACATTTAATTTCACACAACACGTTTTCCTGTTCCTCCGGCACATCTCTTTCGCTCAAGCCAACGAAAACAAAATTTCATGTCATGAATTCCACGAATCCTTTCGATCTAATTAGATATATCTTCAGAGTACCAGAACATTAACATATTTCACTGTAACTTGTCCAAGCTCAAAATAAACCTGAAAACCAGATATGCCAACATGATGAAAAAAATTGTTCGCAAAATATTTTAACAACATTCAAATTGAAAACATAATTCTTATGGTAAACCACGAAGAGAAGGATAAACAAATTACAAAGAGTCAACTAAAGAGACATTTTGAAACTAATCGTCGAGATGATGATCTAATTGAGGTTAGTTGAAATAAATCAATAATAATGTATGAATGTTTGCAACTACTCATAAATCATGTATTGTTTTAAAAAGTGTTGAATACTTGAACAGCTAGTTGAATAATACAGGAATTAATCCTTCGAATAAAATTAACTATGATATTGAAGAGAGTGATCACCACTAAGTTAATTCACATAGGTCTATGCCTAGAACTGGCTTCTAGTAAACTGAACTTTGTTCAATGATTTTTGAAGAAAGGTATCAATAAGCACAAATCTTGGTTTGTAGAATACAGAAAATCGTTGAGGAAATGTTATTGAGAAACTGTAATTTGAAAGGATGTTGGAGAGAACAAATGTGTCTGAGTTATGAGTCCACAACCTGATGCGAGAGAAACACTCATCACATGTAGATCGCTCAGCGAATACACTATTATCGAGTTATTGAATCAAAAAACACTTCATAACGTAAACTGGGATCTAGACTATCCAGTTATATCAAATATTTCACTTGTTCATTGAAATTATTGTGCATTATGCAGTTTGAGTACATTTCAAAGTCAAAGCAATTTATAATCACTACGATCCTATTGACATTTAGTTGATAAATATGAAAGTGAAAGTGAACAAACATTGAATGTTTTCAAAGACTACTAATGTTTACTAAATTCTATTATTTACCATTAGAAGTGAGGTTGTGAATCCGTTTGATCAGGTTTCTCATGTTTTCATATTCTAAACAATCGAAGATTCAATTCACTCTTAAATAAATATCTGTTTCACTCAGCCACATTTTCACAATTTAAACATGTCTATTTTAATTAATTTATCTTCATGTAGTTGAATAGGTTATTTGGAAATAAATTTACATTCTCTTTCTTTTATCCACTTAGAGATGGTTTGAGCTATTTTCGGAAGAGACAACAAACCAAATTACACTTAATAAGTTTTTAAGTGTTCTAGGTGTTGCAAAAGAGGAATAGTAAGTTTTGTTAAATGTATGCACTTTCAGTTTTAACAGTTTCATAGTTAATGTGTATTGATTGAATCCGTTAGAGTGAAAAAACAGTATGGTGATATCGTCAGTGTACCAGATACTTTTCATCGATATTTGTTTTCAAGAGTACATTTCAGATTGTAATCACATGACTGTTCTTTCATTAGTGTTATGCCAGGACACTGAGAAATATAACACTTATGAACACCATATGAAGCACAACTAGTTCACATTGATTGCGGAAAATATGGAAGAGTAGGAATGAGACGAAGAAATGGTCGTCTACATAAGAATAGATTTGTCGACATTCGGACATATTAAAAACAACTGGTCATCGTTTGCATGCACTTCTTCAAGAGCAACATAAGAAATGGAATCAGATCAGCTGTATTCTGCATCAGTGGATCTTGACAGATCGTCCAACAGTCGCTTTCGAATAAAGCATTCAAATACAAATAGGGAATAATGAGAACTGTGCTCTTAGAAATAATACTGAACATTTAACCTTGACCAAGTAGAAATTCGAGTCAATTCTCATCGACTATCACTTATAAAACACTGTTTAAGAAAAATCTTCAGATCCGTTAGGGGAATGTTTACATCAGAAACCGTATCAAAACCTTTCCCATTAGAACCGATTAGCCAACCGTATGGAGTTCACTGGACTAAATTTCCATTTGAACTTGAATACTTTATCTAGTGATAGAATTTCTATACGTTCGTCTACATTGATAATTCACATTTTGCGATTTACAAAAACATTTCCCAATGAAGTGCTTATAAATGTGAATTCGCAATGAACGAACTCAGAGATATTCAAATAAATAGTGAAAAATTAGCCTTCCCGATGTGGATTTTACCATATTACTGATTTCCTTTGGAGTGATAGTGAAAGATTCGCACTATAAAAACAAATCATTGGTTTCTAATGAATTGGTAACAGTGAGCATCATCAGTCCAGGATCATGCTAATGTCCATCAACACAAAAATATTACTAAATACAACTAGTCCCCGTTTGCATACACTTCTTCAAGAGCAACATAAGAAATGGAATCAGATCAGTTGTATTCTGCATCAGTGGATCTTGACAGATCGTCCAGCAGTCGCTTTCAAATAAAGCATTCAAATACAAATAGGGAATAATGAGAACTGTGCTCTTAGAAATAATACTGAACATTTAACCTTGACCAAGTAGAAATTCGAGTCAATTCTCATTGACTATCACTTATAAAACACTGTTTAAGAAAAATCTTCAGATCCGTTAGGGGAATGTTTACATCAGAAACCGTATCAAAACCTTTCCCATTAGAACATGTGTTATTTGAGCATATATGCACTGACTCGCATAAATGTCACGAGGTATTCGTGATCACTCTTAATTAGGAAAGTGATTCTCAGAGAATTTCAGTTGTTCACTAGTTTGACCTAAATCAAAACACCTGTATATGTTATTGTAAGCTGAAAAAGTAGGTTTTTTGAGTGCATGTTGAAAACAGTAATTTAAGCTACAATTCACATATTTGTGATCATTTATCATGATCAAATGACGTTATAATTTAGAAGAGGGTAACTACTTGTGCTTCTTTGAAGTCTGTGTGTTGATCGGTACCGAACCATTGAGAAGATAACATGTGGATATTGATCAACATATATCTGAGTGTAGTGATGTTTACACACATGATATAGATTCCAGATGTTGCTGATTTCAATTTATTTAGCCAATATTGAAACTTCGGTTTCTTTGTTCCAATGAAACTGAAGTGTTGATAAAAATATCAGGTGAGTTTTGGTAGCTTTTATGTTTAGTTAATCACTCTATATAATTAGGGATTGTAAATTATTCTGGTTTTTTAAAGATTTATGATCCATCGATTGAATGCAGTAATTACTGAGTTTGTTCAATCTCAATTAATTTACTGTCGATTACTAGCACACATGACATAGACATCACTCACACCACTAAATTGGAGTTCTATGAAAACTTGGAAGTGACCGGATGTGTATCTTCTCGACTCTACACTTCACCATAAATCCATAACACACTAAATACTATTTAGTTATCTTTTGGATAATACGGGTTCTCTTTATCAGTAGGAGTTGAGTTTCTCGTGATTAGAGTCAATTTGATGGACGAGCACTATACACTATTGTTTATGAGGAGAAAAATGAAACTATTCACGGATTGTTCAAAATTTACGAATAAAGATACTAGGACATTACATTGGGTGATGTAGTGAACGGTGTTTTAGAGCATTGTTGTACATCATCGAAATACCACAGAATCCACTTCGACCTATCACTTTGAGACGCACATATCGGCTCATCTGCTATTGTGAAGCAGGATGGATAAGCTGGTTATTGAGAACATTTCCTGACTCACCAATAATTGAATAACAAGGCACAGTTGGCAAATCTATCTATTCCGTAATATGTAGTTGACCATTACCACGTACTATAAAGCATATAACTTTAAATGTACGTATATATATATCAGTATCAAAGAGATGTGTTTTACTCATGTCCTCTCTTCCCATCTTCACTTTACATGCAATCGCACTCATCTCTGCTCATTACGTCGGAATATATTCTATTGAAATTCATTGGTCTCATCGAATTCACCACTTCTAATGCGATTAAATGATCAAACTCAATTGATTTCCATTGTTATTGCCAATGGCCTTCATTCAACTAATTAAATGATGTTTCCTTCTATAGTAGTGTCGTGTCATTGACTCTTATTTCTCCAGCCTTTATTTCAGAACTTTCACTGGTTAAATTTTTTCGTCGATTCCCATTCATTTCATTTAATGAAATACTTTTAGTAATCCACTACTGAGACGAGTGTTACTGACTCATTGTTTTACTGATATCCACGTCGTGCTCACCGTTCTTAACGGTTTCTTCGTGTGCAACTCTGAATATGAACTATTCTTCTCACTTAGTTACTCGTGTAATAATGAATGTCTTCAACGAAGAACTTCCGAGATTCGCTTTGAATATTTAAAAACACGTTTTTACTGCTTGAATATATTTATTACTGAAATCATTTTATCAATTATTCATCTATGTATTCTGGTGTTTTCCATATAAGATAACAAAGATTTTTCATTTTAAAGTGAAATGAAGTATTAACCTCTTGTGTATATGAACTGGCAAAGGAACCATCCACTACCGTAACATGCCATGACCTACCAAATGTTCTATCTAGAAATTCTTTAAGCTTTGTAGCAATCGATATTTTATTGTCGCATTCATATTCTTGATATAATTTTCTAGCTTCATTGCTGACATTGATTTGTTGTGGTAACATCATATCGCCAGAAATGTATTCAATGTCTGAGCCAAGTTTAAACAATGCTGAATGTTGTTGAATTGTATTTCTTCGCATTTTTTCACTATAAAAATACATATTAAAAATATGGTTTGTATGGATTGAGAGAAAAATACTTATTTATCAACACTGGTCGCTGTTCACTTAGGCAGCCTTAGTCGAGAAAATGAAATCAGAGTGAACATATGCATTGATGATCACCGCGTAAAACAGGGTAGATGACTATTCAAAGTCTATCAGGATGTTATAAAAATTAAAACATCAAATTGATCAATATATTGAGGGACAACAAATTCACACATAGTTGAATTCTTAATGACTAGTAACCTAGAATCCCAATTGTTTGATAACTGTGGATTTGTGTGGAACATTAATGTGTAGTCTCACCCTAATAAGCACTTTCGATACCTATTTCAATTCGGATTAACGATCTGTCCGAGGGATTTTTAATGCTCTCTGGACTGACTTCTCGTCTTATCTGTTTTGTCGTTGTGCCAGTTCCTACATCTCATTCTTCAACAAATCCGAATTGTTAATTCGTGGCATACTTATCGCCGAGTGACTTGAACATCGAGTACTAGAAGCATTCTAAAATAATCGAAAACATTATTGATGCATCTGAACTCAGTAGCAGCATTATATTTTACACATCCATCATTTCAACTTTGTTTAAGCTATCAGGATAATAGTATGTTTTGTGACTGGATAACAGAGGAATGCGCGACGTGCCTTCATCCTGTTTGTGTCTCATCAATTGAATGCAACACGATGCTAGTTTCGATACTCTCACTGAGACTCCCATACAAAGTCCTTCCCTTCAAGTATCGAACACATTATCCATTGAGCTGCTGAGGACATATGGCCACCAATTTATTCAATAGATATGGAAATGTCGATTAGGTCTGTAATTGATTTTTGTAATACATAACATCCCATTCATGAAGGTTCAGAATATCAACGACGCTGAATTACAAACATTTACCAGTATTTATAGGATGAATCACATCAGACAGACACATGAAACCGAATCGCTGTTATGTTTTCGACCGAGCATAAGAGGAGACGAGAGAAAGTGTGATGATATTGGTCAGTTAGATTGTTCACAGTTAAGTTAACCTGTATGCAAGAAAGTAGACGAAACTGTTCTTATGTAGACGACCATTTCTTCGTCTCATTCCTACTCTTCCATATTTTCCGCAATCAATGTGAACTAGTTGTGCTTCATATGGTGTTCATAAGTGTTATATTTCTCAGTGTCCTGGCATAACACTAATGAAAGAACAGTCATGTGATTACAATCTGAAATGTACTCTTGAAAACAAATATCGATGAAAAGTATCTGGTACACTGACGATATCACCATACTGTTTTTTCACTCTAACGGATTCAATCAATACACATTAACTATGAAACTGTTAAAACTGAAAGTGCATACATTTAACAAAACTTACTATTCCTCTTTTGCAACACCTAGAACACTTAAAAACTTATTAAGTGTAATTTGGTTTGTTGTCTCTTCCGAAAATAGCTCAAACCATCTCTAAGTGGATAAAAGAAAGAGAATGTAAATTTATTTCCAAATAACCTATTCAACTACATGAAGATAAATTAATTAAAATAGACATGTTTAAATTGTGAAAATGTGGCTGAGTGAAACAGATATTTATTTAAGAGTGAATTGAATCTTCGATTGTTTAGAATATGAAAACATGAGAAACCTGGTTAATCGGATGCGCGATTCCGACTTTTAATTCATGTTAATCTTCCTTCGATCATATTTGTTCAGAACCTGAGTGCTGTTTCATTAATTCACTCTGAACGTGATATATTTTTGAGAACGACTTTTCGAGGCTAGCTCTTTGATTCGTTTGTATCAATTGAATTGACTTAAGATTGTTAACAGTTTCACGCATGCGTTCGCTTAGCCATACTGAGATTACCGCTGAATGTGTAGTTCCTCGGAGATGTAGAATTGAAACTATTAATACAAGTAAGTGTTCAGTGTAATTCAACTCTCATTCTCAGTATCACTGTCGGACGCGTGCAGCTAATATGCAGTAGTTCACTATCTTCAAACGATCGTTGAAGTACCCTTCGAAGCTTCAAACATGACGATATACATTCTTTGATAAGAACACATAATTGAACTGTCGGCCTGTAGTAGTTCAGATAATTTGTTGGGGTCTAGACTGAAGTAAATGAAATCGATTCCTAATCTGTTGCGCAGTGATTTTAAGGTTGATTGTGTTAACCGTCAGGATACTGATACATATGGCATCAATCGAAAAATTACAAACACTAGACATCCTAATAAACAATATTATCACACATGCACATCTATTTAGATCAGTACATGTTGATAATCAAAACTTACTTGAACCATTCGATTACCCAGATGATTCTCTTTGGCGAATTTCTCTAATTCTTCCTTAGTGATAATCTCATCATAGTTTGTATCGATTTTTGAAAATACACTAGTAAAAGTTTCCATTTGTCACCACTGTTTTTCTAAATTATTCACTTTCTTTCTGTGCTATCTTTTACAAGACAATTTACATAAAGTGATTAAACGATAGTGATCTGATTAGAACCAACAGTAATGCCTGGAAATTATTGTAGAAAATAAGAGAAAATTTAGGTAAATTATCTTATGTCTATGTGAGCATATATATATATATATATATATATATATATATATATATATATATATGTAGGGTCATTTAAGGTTACTGTATTTACAGTACAATCATAAGACCAGTCAGAAGTATTATATTAGTACTAATTATCTAATTTTATGTTGTTTTAATTTAGGATGGTTCACGGTTATTTCCGGACCAGAGGTTTATACTACATACTAGTCACTAATGACCAGAAATCACGGAAGTTTTCTACTGCAAATGAGACATCCTGGTTTTCAATGATTACCTAACTAAAGCCAATCCATAATGGAAATTATTAATGTTATGTTTGTCTCTTTAAAGTAGTATAGAAAGACTGAGAACACTTCAAGATGTTGTGATTACAGTTATGTTTACGTGCAGTCAGTCACTCCCTTGTATATATTTCCGAATAATTTCAATTAAAAATTTAATTGGACATATGACTGTTATATATCGTAGTTTTTTTTTCATCATCACTGACTGCGCTACATTTGACACCTCCATAAAAACATAGAGTGCTATTTCCGTCGTAGAAAACAACAAATTTCATGTAGACCAGAAAAAACAACAGAGAACGAAACATGTTCTGCATGATGGACTACGAAAGCGTAGCTAATAATTACCACTTCATTTTCATCGTTTGCCAGCAGTAAAGTCAAGATTGCGAAAAAGAAAATAGTTGATCTTCGGTCAAATAAACTAGGAACATTTTGATGAAACTTACGATTCATAATACATAATATGTTAAGTTCTCAGGTGTTTTAAACCCAATTGTGTCAACTTTGGATAAAATAAACCCTTAACACATTATCGCATGTAGAGTACTCTTACGTCTCAAACGAAAATTCATGCATGTGCAAAATGTGATGGTGTAATTATCTTATGTAATTATTTGTATTTTTCTTCCCTTTGTAAATTTTAATCAAACAGAAATGGCAAGCATTATTTGATCCAACAAATACTGGTATTATAACATTTCAAAAATTTTGTGATGTCCTCGGTGTAAAACCGGAACAAGCGTGAGTCTAGTCATTTTGGATTTCCTTACGTCTACTTTTAACAAGAACTTACTTGAAGGGATACAGTTCAAAGTATATTAAACTAGTTATTTGAAATGTTTGATTCTGTGTGTAGTACATTTAGTGATGAGAATATTTCTCTTCTTTTTATTAAGTCCAGATGAAATTTGTGAACAATACATGTAACATGACATAAAATGCAAGTTCATAAACATGTTCAACAAATTACAAAATTAACTAGAGCTAATCACCGCCACTTGACTGATTAGAAGTGAAAGCAGCCTAAACTTAAAGCCGGAAAACTGTGAGCCACCTCAATAAAATCTGAGAAATTGGTGTTATGGAGCAAATAATATTAAAGTATAAACCACGATGTGTCTTTTTCATCGTGAAAACTTCTTCGCTCCTAGCATTGTGTCAACTTATCCCTCTTGTTTATTCAGCTGCTTTCCCGACTGATATTGAGTTGTATTAGAAGTCACCTAAACATGGAAACAAAGCTTCAATTTACCATATGGATTTATCGACAGGATTTTCATGTGAGGGGTAATCTAAAGTGAACTACGAATATATTACTGAGCTAAGTATCAAATGGGAACCTGTTGCCCAATAACTCTTAAACCCACATCATATTCGACATTGGAAAGTGGAGCTTCATATACGAGTAGAGTTGGTTCGGGATTCGTTCTCTCAAACAACAAAATACTGTCTGTCAAACAAGTATAAATTGTAATTCATCATTTTATCATTTTTTTCAGACGTACTCTTCGGAAGAGTGTTGTCAATAACCGACCACTGCCGAAAGATTTACAAATAATCTCCCAAAATATGTCACCAGAAGATCAATTCCAAATATTTGAATTTGTTCGATCACTGTTAGATAAAAATTTATCAGGTCAAGATATGACACAAATGATAAAACAATGGCTTGATAAAACATTCGACCCTTCATGGCATGTTGTTATAATCGATGGTTCATATTGGATATCGTATTCACATTTACCTGAACAATCTCTACAATTTCGACTGAAAGAAAAGTGTTATTTAGTTTGGCGCACACCTAAATATTGACATTGAATCAACAAAATTATGATAATTGCAGTTACGTAACGAGTATTTATTCGTAATTGAATTTTGTTTACCCATATTGTTGTTTAACCAACTGCATATATATACATATATATATCGACCCAAATGTCAAACTATCGTTTACTTTATCCAGTGTTCACCAAACTATTTTATTTTAAATCCTTCACAGTTTAATCACATCACAACACACACATCTCCGTATACAATTTATTTATTTTGTTGAACTGTCATATTGATGTGTATGTGAGATTGAAACTTTAGCATATGACTTTGTGTCATGCATAGAAATATAACTTACAAAATTTACTTCAACATACTTCTTTTACTGTTAGTTATTTCATTTTAAGCTGAACTAACGATCATGTAATGTTTATAGTTTTTACTTGATTGGAAGTATTCTCAATGGAACTTCATTCATTCAACATAAGATTGATCGGTACATATTCATACCATATAAATAATTTTCCATGATATATATCTATGTATATGATTGTAACGGGAACAAAATAGTAGAATAGTGATATTGATTAACTAGTATGGATCTGCTATCGATTAAACGTTCTTTGGAAGTCGTGTCAGCTATGCAATTAGAACTTCAATACTGTCAACCATATAGAAATTTATTGTTTCGGACATATAGGTGGTGGTATAACTTGGTTGTATAATCTAATATCAAAAGTGATGCATTTTAAAACTACTTGGTGCTTTATCATGATGGATTAAACTGCGAAATCGTGCATAGAGGACAATTGACAGACTCGTTCGAGGTAAAGAGTTGTGTCGGGCAAGGTTGTTTACTCTCACCCTTCCTCTTTCTCCTGGTGATCGACTGGATCATGAAGACATCAACATCTGAAGGGAAACACGGGATACAGTGGACAGTTAGGATGCAGTTGGACGATCTAGACTTCGCAGATGATCTGGCCCTCCTATCGCACACGCAACAACACATGTAGGAAAAGACGACCAGTGTAGCAGCAGCCTCAGCAGCAGTAGGTCTCAACATACACAAAAAGAAAAGCTAGATTCTCCGACACAACACAGAATGCGACAATCGAATCACACTTGACGGAGAAGATTTGGAAGATGTAAGATCCTTTACGTAGCTGGGCAGCATCATTGATGAACATGGTGGATCTGATGCAGATGTGAACGCGTGGATCGGCGAAGCAAGAGCAGCATATTTACAACTGAAGAACGTCTGAAACTCAAAACAATTGTCAACCAACACCAAGGTGAGAATTATCAGTACAAATGTCAAAACAGTTCAACTGTATGGGGCGGAAACCTGGAGAACTACGAAAGCCACCATCCAGAAGATACAAGTGTTTATTAACAGTTGTCTACGCAAAATACTTCGACCAGACACCATCTGCAACAACCTACTGTAAGAGAGAGGAAACTAGATCCCAGAGGAGGAAGAAATCAGGAAGAAACGCTGGAAGTGGATAGGTCACAAGACAAGCCCTCACATGGAATCCTCAAGGCCAAAGGAGAAGAGGAAGATCAAAGAACACATTACGCCGAGAAATGGAGACAGACATGCTGGAACTTAACAAAAATTGAACAGAACTCTGAAGGAAGGTACATGACAGAGTGGGTTGGAGAATGCTGGTCTGCGGCCTATGCTCGATTGCGAGTAACAGGCGTAAGCAAGCAAGTAAGTAAGTAAGTACGTAAGTGGTGCTCTATCGATTCTTCAATGCACCAACCTTGTGAAGACGATTTGTTACACAAACTCCACCGACCACTCAATTACGTGCGAGTTCATCCTGTCATTGACAAAGTGCATCCTGTCATAATTAGTCCCAATAATTACCAGACTGAACAATTCTTATAGAACACAAGAACGTCGGGAATTTGTATATCATAAGTAACTGAGATAGTAAGAATCCTGATATAGAATGGCACTGGAACAACACAAGACGAGGTTTGGTCGGTTACACTGAATGAATATCATACTGAAGTTTTGTTGGGGTGCCCAAAAAGCAATGAGTACATCATTGTCAGCTAGTAATTAACAAACTCAAACACAGACGTATTTATTCGGACTATCAATAATGGAAGAAATAAACAGACAGCAAATCTTGCTTTCTCTATGTTAAACACTATAGTAATGATTCTGTCACATCAAGACACGTCCAACCGATATGTATATCCAGTACACAATTGGCAAATTTCTACGTAGGTTAGTATTTTAAAGAATAAATTAAGACCACGTAATCGGAAAACGGTGTTTGCATAATGTCCCCTGTAGATAACATATCATGCACTTAGCATTTGCTAGGAATAAAACATCAGTTAATAGACAATCTAAATATAGAAAGGTGTGCATGTAAATTAAAAACGGTCATCCTAATAAATTTATTTGTGAAACATATCCATACTACCGAATATCATGAACAGCATCGAAATGCTAAAAAGTATACAAAAGTCACGCAAGCACTTGGTCATTGTGTACCTTCACTGCTTTTGAGAACATTATGATTCCTTTCTTCGCTCGTCAGTGTTATCTGACTACACATTTTCGCGAAAGTTTATTTCCGATAAAGTACACATTTCCCTACCTTTAACAATTGAGTGCAAATAAAATTCAAATATATCAACACTACGTTCAAAAAGATTGTCATGTTGTTAGGGATTTCTACAATCTAGATGATATAGTTTAACAGACATAATTGTAATCCGGATAGGGCGTTGATGGAGATTCCTTTCACTCTCCAAAAATTCAGCAATCACTTCACACAAATACACTCATCTGTATCTAGATTTTATCTACATCGGATGATTAGTCAGGAAGTATCTTAAGTAACTGAGATAGTAAGAATCCTGATATAGAATGGCACTGCAACAACACAAGACGAGGTTTGGTCGGTTACACTGAATGAATATCATACTGAATTAATGCGAACGAATGTTTCACTGACTAAACATCACACTGGATACAATTATGATCTCACGTTAAAACGTGAGTTTTAACAGTTTTGTAATGTTTAAAGTAAAATCAACCAACAACAATGAGTGAGAAAATTATGTATTGGAGGAAACACAAACACATTGCATTATTTTACACAGGTATACTTCGATTCCATGCTAAAATAATAGTCTTTGATCACTGATTGAAAGTATTCATATAGGATTCAGTCAGTCATCTTCACTGATTACAAGAACAATACGGACTAGTTGAGAAAGCGTATTTGTCAAGAGAATATAGCCTATCGAAATTGTGTAATTATGGCTAATCAGAATGACCCAAACTTAATAGATATTGGTGCGTACGTTATTCGTGTGAGCTATTCACTCATTGATTATACTTTAAACATTCTTGCATCTTTACCTACTATAAACCTTTGAGTCGCCAAATTTCGTTTGAATTATTTGGTGTTTTGAGAATGATATGTTACTGGCTAGTTCATTCGTTGTCTCTTCTTTGAACTATTGTCGATGTTACCAACACAATCCAATGATTGTTGAAATCGCCTCCACCATTTTTAATCTAGTTACAGTTTTAATGGTCGTAATCTTGACAGTGAACAACGGTTCAGTCTAGATTGAGCGTTCTATTCAGAGTGAAACTCATCAAATGCTTCAACATTAATATGTTAATCTGTGAAATCCGAAACACGATTTCAGCACATATCACTCAGAATGTCAGAATGTTATGCAATGAAATTTCCAAATTCGACAGACATTACTGCTTCAACGAGCACTGGTTACTATAAATATTTGAGTTTGACAGTTACAAGCAGGAAGTAGACTGCATTAAAATCAATCGTTTTCACATTTTTGACATGATATGATATGATATGATATGATATGATGAATCGGTGTGAACATCTCACCACTACACGAGATCTTCGTAAACGTATGAGCAAATCAGTTCGTAGTTATAACATTTATCTGTACAAATGGCTTGTGGAGATAACTGAGTGTTTTTAAGACAGCGAGTCGACATGAGTTAGATAACCATTGCTGAGTTATACTATCGCTATCCATGAAGGATGGGATTTCAAGACAATAATGTGAACAATAATCAATGAATTGGTCAGTGAGTGGCTTATATATAGACGGTGAATTGATGTATTGAGCGTGTTAACATTCATGGTTTTGATACCAGTGTAAAATTTTCGATACAACAAGAATAATGTAGTGATGCGCATTCGAATATCATATGGAGAACCCATCCACTCAAGAGTTCACGTGTGATTTGTCGATAAGTGTGAACTGATATCGGAACTAGATCAATCGTTTCTTGCCGACTAACTTAAACCACCTGACAACTCAACATGGTAAACGTGATGTTCAGTCAATTAAACCAGTAACCACATTACAACTTGAGTGACGGAACTGTACCTGTACTAAATGGTGAGACGAATATGACATTGTTCACTAATCTGTGACCAATCATTTGTACAAGTCGAAATACCGTAGGACTTTGATGACTCTTACAACGTATCTCGTTTATCATTCTAGATAAATCTCTACCATAACGACAAACACTTTCTAAAAGATATATTGATGGTTGGATTACGGTGATTAAACTAAGAACACAACCATGTTAAATGGTAGAAAAAGCACTTGGTATGAAAAGGGATTATTTGGATAATCACTCAATGAACAATGAGTGCAGGGAATGTGCATTAATATGGATAGGTGAGAAGGCGTTCAGGAAAATTAACTATATGATATACAATATTTTCGATGGAATAATTGTATTGTCTGCATAGATTACTGAATGGTTACACCCGAATATAATTGGAACGACTACTAAACTAATTGTTTATTACTTTGATGTTAAATAGGTCATTCACAAGAATGTAGTGAAAGGTATTTAATCAATTTGAATGATATATTTTCAAATACCAAGCTGTCAAAATTAACTGATTATTTCTAGTGTGACAATTATTGTTTAATGTTAAACTACATTCTACAATTCTAGTCATGATGTGTTTAGAGATTAAACTATTGATAATTTCGTGTAT